CTGCAGCTCCCTGCTGCAGCCACCAGGGACTGCCCGAATCATCAAAGCTCTCTGAATCTTTGCCAAAGTATCGGAGAGCTTTGAATCGATTCAGACCTTTAAATTGGTCCCCTGATTCAATTTGGATTTGGAGATTCAGCCACTGAATCAGGCCGAATCTCCTCTGAATCAAATCACCACCCGAAGCTTCGCACAGCCCTAGTGAGCAACGCATAGGGTCTGAGGTTCTACTAGTTCATGTCCTGCATCCCAGAGATCATTATTATAGTGATGTGTGTTTGCAGAATTATTTTTATCTAGTCATACTATGAAGCTACCAAGAGTGTAGCCTTCTGTATAGAGGTTGTGTACAAGCTCTCCAATATGTCACCATTAGTTGATCATTTGGAAATGGGAGTAAATGATCCTTGCTTTACTGAAGTAAAATAAAACAAAATCCATTGTTTTCAACAGGAGAAGGCCAATATTTTTGGATGTATTGAATAAATTTATAAAACTTGTTCACATTGTTATGGTTTATTATTATGTTGGTAATATACACACAACAAAAAGTACACCTTCTCAAAAGACTGACGTACTCAAAAACAAATAAGTTATTTACAGGAAAAAGTAAATACCAGGAGGCTAAGAACTGTATGTAGACAAGGTAGAGGCACTTTTTTGCTGTGTTTCTAAATAATATAGCTAAAAAAAAACAGGTTCTAGCACAAGGCTCCAGCATGGTCACATGAACCAATCCCTTTTTGCATGCTGGGATTATAATGTGAAGTTGGACTCTATCATACATTAATTGAAAAAGGCCTTGCACTAGGTCTATGAACATGCAGATAGTAATTGCATAAGGCATATGGTTTCCTTGTTCCAAAATTTGAAACGGGTTTATCAAAACCACTGTGTACGGTATGTACATGCATATTTTTGGTTTCGAATCAGGCACATGAGATGCATATACCCTCTTTTCTCTAAGGTTCACAAAAAATGTGTGCCACATCCAGTGGGGTTTTTTTGACAATTAAAATTGATCCGAATTATGACTTACTACAGAAACACTTAGCAGGTGACCAATTGAAATTAGTAAGGAAGTTGTTTACAAGCACCATTTTCACGAAACTCAGGAGGTAAATAGTCTTCTGTGGTATGCCTTCTGGTCATTGTACTACGGAATACAGTTTAAACATCACATCCCAGTACAGAGTCTGATCTTGCTTACTGTGAAATCTGTGTTAAAACTGCAATTAATTTTATTTGCAGCAGCATCAGGCCCAAAATATGGACTCAAATAAAAATAACTATGTGGGCCACAGATGCAAAGCTTTCTCGTACTATTGTCCTCTCTATTTATAACTACAAAACAAATAAACTTCCTTTCTGAAATGTTCACATCTTAGAGACTCTGATCCCATTACAGTTGATAGCAGTTGCATGAAAATATCACTAGGAGAATCTATTGCCAGTGCTGCTTCATTTAGATAAGGCTTCTTTTGACATAATTCAAACACGCTATGGGCAATTTTTTACAAGTTACATATAGGGTCAAGGAGTGAAAGGTGACTGGCAAGATGCTTATTTTGTACATTAGGCTAACACAAATACTTCCTCAAGTATAAAATGCTTTGATCTCTATAAGCAAATGCCATATGTGTGCAGCTGTGACCCATGCCTCACAACTGTTGGAAGGTTAGAGAAAGGTAGCATATGAATTTCATGTCTGCATTCAATTTATGCTTTTATATTTAACAGTTCATAATTTTATGTAATATTTTAGTTGTATGAAAAATATGCACTAGGGTTGAGTGATAACAGATTTCTTTGTGGTTTCACTCGACATTGTTTGGGTGAATACAGAATCCTAAGTATTGCAGGCTGGAAAATATGGGTTTTAATTAGAGCTGTCTGAGCTTCAAAATACCTGAACTCACATTAAGCTTGGCAGATGTTCAGAAATCTGAAGACTGCACAGAGCTGCTGTGAGTGAAGCAAGAGCCTCCTGTTTTCCAGTTTGTGATACATGCAGTTGCATCACTGATCACAACTCAATCAATCGTCTGCTGTGTGACAATGCTTTCTCTTTAACGGTTCCATGATGTCACCCTTATATGTTAAGTAGTGCCTTACTCCAAGACCATTACCACTTGGAAAAACTGGCCTCTTCACAGGGTAAGGTTCTGCTCTACTTGGGTAAAGGCCAGAATCTGCCCCTAAAATATTTATTGTGTTTCAAGAGTTATGAGTCCCTGATTCTCATTATGTGAGTACAATATTAAACCCCACTGATGTTAGTGGAGTTTGTGTTGGGCACCGATTTGTTTGCATGGATCCAGTTTCACAATTGGTGCCAAAAAAGAGCACCTGGCTATATTCATCAAAAATTATGATTATGTTCAAGGATTTTGCTATATATTAGCAAGGAGAATGTAGCCATTTTAGTCAGCAACATTGAAGTTTTTACAGATAAAAAAAATAACCAAGAGAGAATCCAACAGGTTGAAATAAAATTAAAAAAACATAAAATGAAATATGAAAAAACATCAGTGTAACAAAAAAAATGTTCAAGTCTCCTCATATGTAAAGTAAGCTACCATGACTTGTATTGTTTCTTAAAATTGGCATATAAACTTCTAAAGATTTCTGCCTTATTTTATGTGTATAAGAATGTGTTAATGCAAGTGCTTGTGTGTGTGCTTATGGTTTTTAAATTATTTAATAATGTTCTCATTTTTTTTTCTTTTTCTTTCACCTTTGGACTTTCCTTTTCTAGCTCCTACTAGGTATGGTGGGCTCTACAGATGAAATCCTACAGGAAGCTGCAGCTGGTTGCATAGCCAACATCCGCAGATTGGCTTTGGCAACTGAAAAAGCAAAATATGGTTAAAGTCTCAACAGCTTTTTCCAACTCCCATGCTTTACACTACACTACATTTCAATATGTGACTCTCTGGACAAGTATCTAACATTCAAGTTTGAGAAACATTTAATTTAGGATATTTTTAAAGAAATCTACATTTAATTAAAATACCTATTCAAATAGGGTGCTTTTTTACCTTGATATTGTATTCATTGCACTGTATACTTTTCAGAGTCTTCAGTCATGTATCACTTTAAAAGTACCATCTAAAATGCATGAAAATTATTATTCATGGTTAATAATATAACTCAAATTTCATTTAAGACAAATATGTTTTCTGTGTTTGATAGAATTATAATAAATGCATTTCTTCCTCACTGTGTGTGGCTGTGCAGTAATTCATGAATGTCTTGAACAATTCCCTTTCTGCTAAACCTTTGCCTAATCATCCTGTCATTATGGGTTTTGTCTTTTGATCACTTTCAATCCACAGGAGAGGACTGAATGCAGATGCACCAGTTTCACATCTGGTATTATATAAGTACTGCAAACAGCTGCAGCTGTAGACATCATTCAAAAATTATTCAAATTTCCCCTATCACCAACATCAGACAAGATAGTATATACTTTACTAGAGATGCATAAAAACTTTGATTAAAATTCACCAGATGTAGATTAAGAACAATACAGATGTGCATAGCTAATTTTTATTTTTACACATTATAAATATAATCTTGTTGTGATTCTCTAATGTTTACAACTTGGAACAACATTGTGTTGATGTAATTGTGTTATATAGTTATTTTAAGTTATGTAGTAATTTTGATGTAATTATATAGAAAACTGAATTCAGAATTATTGAATTTACTTTGAAAAATCAACATCTTTTTTTAATGTGAAATGTTATTATTGTAGATGACAGAACTGTAGAAATCTACCTCGGACATTAAATTAACCCTTGGGTTTTTTCTATATTGATGCATATACAGTGCTTACCAAATATTGACAAAGACATTACTTTGCAAATAATAGCATACAAGTTTCACAAGTTAAGCTAATTCTGTCCCAACTGAGAAAATAAATTATTAAATATGGCAGTTTATTGTCAACCATTCACTTTTAAATTTTAAATATGTTATTACTTTGTTTTTTATTTAAAGTGTACATTATTTCTTGTTCAGAAGCAGCAGTTTCTATAATATTTAATTATTTTCCCCTGCGACTTGCAGGGTAAAATTATAGCTACTAACAGAGTTGACTTCTAAGAGAGCTGTATGTAAATATATAATTAGAAACAGACCTAAAGATCATTATCTTTATTTAGCTAGGAAAATGCTGTTGTTATCTATTTATTATTTAAAAGAAACAACTGTATTTGAAAGAATGTTTTGCATTTTTAGCTTCTCATAGGATTTGAAAGCCTCTTTGAGTTTAGTAAGTAGAGCTCTGTTTCAAGAAAGTACTTAGGCATACCCTTAGTCTGTGTCTCTTCCAAAAAGTGCTTAAGCAAGTGCCCATCTTTAAGCATATGGTTAAGTATTTTCCTGAGCTGTATCCTGGGAGTCCTTTAACAATGTTCAGCTTAATAATATCTAATGCAGGCAATACCAAACTTGTCATCCACACAATCAAGAACTAGAAAGGCCCTAAATGCTGATAGTATATTGAACCCAATGGGGATTCTTGTGGAAGCAGACATTTTCATGCTTTTACCTGACAATTTGGTGTCAACTGTCTGAAGCTGCTCTATTCTTTCTGCTGCAGTCATTGGACTGTAGTGGTGATTGGGCACATCTATATGTGCTATTAGTGCACAGCAATAAAACTGTAGCCCTTATTGCTGTACAATTTATTGCTCCTGGGAAGCTCCCAGTTGCACAGTTTTACGTGTGTGCCTGGACTGCAGCACAATGAGCCAGGTCAGAGCAGCTTTGGCTGGCAGGCAGTCCTGGGGGTCAGCCTGCCAGCTTGGGGCTCCTCTGACTGGGCTCAGTGTGCTGTGAAGAGACTAGCTGGGTCATGAGGGTGCTTCAGTGTCGAGGTATCTGGCAGGAAGCCCCTGCCCTGAATCGTCCTCATGCCCCAGCCAGCCATGTCAGCATCTACATAAGTGCTGCTATGCACAAAAACACTCCTGCAGTGGGGTAGTACTCGTTTGACTTTTGTGCGCTCTAATAGGAGTACAGGCAGTCCTCAGACTTATGACACAATTGGTTCCTGAACACCCTGTCTTAAGCTGAAACGTTGTAACTCCGAACCGATTTTCCCATAGGAACAATGTTATAAATGAGGGATTGGTTCCTGAACCAAGGCCCAACACCTTATTTTCACCAAAAATAACCCAGAATTTGTACTCGATCAATTATAGATGAGTAATACAGCTACATTAATGTATTTATATTGTAAATAGCAATCATATTGATTTGGAAGGACTTATTTGAGGTGACTTTGCTGGACTTATTGAAGGGCGCAGGGAAATGGGCGGCACAGCGAACTTGTTCACTGGTGTGGCATTGCATCAGATTGAGTGTTGTAAAATTGAAACCGATGTCAGAAAGTTGAAACAGTCAAAAGTTGATTTATAAACGTTGTAAGTGCTGTTTGTTGTAACTCAAAATGTTGTAAGTCGAGGGTTGCCTGTACACATGTTGATGCTGAGACATTTACTGCACAGTTAATTAGTCAACTGTGAAGTGAACATCTTGTATAGACGCACCCACTGGAATCTAGACACATCTTCTGTGTAGATGGTTTGCATTTATGAATTTGCGTAATGAAGAATCTACCATATTCTCCAGAGGAAACATAGTAGTCAATGGCATGTATGGGATGCAGAATCCATTGCACATCACATCCATGTTCTGCCTTCCCAGCATCATTCAGAGCCTTAATTGCCTTCTGAGAAGGGGACAGCCTTTGGCTCTTAGTAAAGCAAGGATTTGTATGGCAGCACAAATGTTACTGAGACCAGTGACCATGTGAATATTATTCTAGTACATTTTCCATCTCTGTACCAAGGGTCTCTCTGAGTACTTTTAATTAAATGTGTCTATATCTTGGTTCTGGTATCGCAATGAAATCTTTACCATACATGTCATGCTCCTAAGAAAATATTTTTGATAAATGCAAGTATGTTTTATTCATGAAGATTTTGGTGGGGAAGAGATTGTTCATGTGAATAATTTATCACTTTTGGGCTTATGAAATGTATATAACATTAAAGGATGCTTTTCTGTAGGGGGGGGCGGGGAACTCCCTCTGCCTGAAATTGTCCTTGATATGATTTTTCAATACAGGTCTTACTAAAACCTAAAATGAACTTAATTTCATCATACAGTTTTGTGATAATAAATGTAATCCTGCAATAATTACTGAAGCAGGAACTCCTTCAAATATGAAGTCATTGTTATAAATCCCAGTTGTTTAATCTCAGGAAGAGCTTTATTATTTGAGGTGTTTCCTTTGCCTTTACTATTCCTGCAGCTGTTCAGTTCTGTACAAGGAGAAAAAGTCTTTTGAAACTGGTGAAGATCTGCCATGCAGTCAAATAACTGCACTAAAAACACAGCTTTCATTTGTATAAAACTTCTGGATTCTATATCATTATTTTAAACAGGTTTAACTATAAATAAAACCCAATTTATGGCTATTCTGATGTACTCTGTGGGACAGGAAAATATACTCCAAAGGTTTCTACTTCCTTCACCAAGCTGAATAGGCACCAGGACAGAACAGTTTGTTGAAAAGGAACTTTCACTTGGGTTGTAAACAGATGTTGAATTCATCCTGGGTAAAAGCCTTTTGTTCCAGGATCAGACAGACATGCACACTCACCATCCCACTTCAAGTCTGTTTGATGTGTGCCGGATAAAATATACTAAAACATTTTCACAGGACATCCTATCATATGTCTATAGAGTTATTGCAGTTCATTTCAGGGATAAGCCAGTTAAGTTTTGTGCTCTGACCACCTATTGGTGAAGGAACAGCAATGCAGATTGGAAGGGCAATGTGTATAAATGACTCTGCCATTCCTGTTTTGATCCTGGTCAAACTCCAGAACAACCAGTCCTGGGTCAAATGAGATATCTGTTCATACCCTAAGATGATTCTGTATTTCTTTCATTTTCTCTGATCCTGATGGCATCTGAAGCCCCTGACAGACTGTGACTGCCGGGTCTTGAGTAATCAGTCACGTGCTACCTTGGCTCATGCACTGAGGGGTGTACGCCCTGCAGCCTCCCTAAAAATGCTGTGTTGATTGTTGCCTCCACAGGAAGCCTTCCCCTATCTCGCCTGCCATGACTTGAATGTTTCCCAGTGGGGGGAATAACTATCCCGGGAATCTTCTACGGCACAGGTGGCCTGGTGGTCACTAGCGGGGCTCTGCCACCCCTACACCCCATCCTCACGCCACCTTGATGAGTTGTCCCACCTTCGTGGCCATGTACCTCTTCTTCTACTACCATAGAGCCTCCTGATTTCCCTCCAGTTCAGGATACCAACTTCTGAGGCCGATTCGCTTATTCAGTTCTGAGTTGTGTTCGCCAGTCTTGCTCGTGGTGTCCGTACTCTCCTAGGAGGAGCTTTTCCCCGACCTTAACTCGATGGGCCGACTTATGAACTCCGCCACGTCTCTCCTACTCTCATGTAGTCTCCTACCCCTCAACCCCTTTGCACGGGGAAACTCACAAGAAACACAAAAAGAAGAACAAAAAGCGACTCCCTTCCCAGGTCTTTTATATCAGATCCTGGGTGCTGAGCTCTCCACGGTCTGGCTAGGAGTTGACCCCTGCTCAGGTCCTCCCTTCCCATCCTTCCCCTGCCTTTATATGCCCTAGGCTTTCTTGCTCCTTTCCTCTCTGGAGCATCCCTATCTGAAGGTTTCGCCGTTCTCTGATGAGTGGCTGGCTCTCCCCCACACTCAGGGTCAATGCCTGAGTTCTCTACAGTCCTTTTGTCTGCTTCTGCTGGGGCTCTCTTGCCAGGTAGAGTTCCTCCTCCTCCCTCCAGTCCTCAATACTCCCACCTGCGGTGGTGGTGATTCCTGCATGTCCTCTGCTGTTTCCTCTGCTGCTGCAATTCTTGCAGGCTGGCGGAGTTGCTTCCCACTTCCCTCCAGTGCTGGTGGTTTGTTTCCGGCTGCTGTTGCTGTGGCGGGCGTCAGGATCCTCCTCTGGCTCCTTTTTCACTGCTTTCTCTTCCCAGTGATGATCCTGGAGGGGGCCTGGCGTCCCTACACTCCCTGGGTCCTTCCTCTCTCCTCCTCTTCCTCGTCTGTCTGCCCCCTTTATTCCTGCCGGACGGGGATTCCTTGTGATGTCACCGGCCAGCCTCAGCTGAATAAAGGCGCACCTAATGAGC